TGACAGAACGCTACGGAGGGGGTCACGTGACCGCCAATATCACGTGATTCGTGCATGCGCAGAACGGTAGTTGATGTGCATTAAAATCGGGGAAGATTAATTTAAAATATAATCAACATTAAAACCAATATTTCTTGTATGGAAGTTATTCAATTAGTTTGCGAACTTTTTGATCACCTCTCGTACAATATCATGCAGAAAATACTCAACGTTGAAAATATGTTGCATCTTCAACGTTGTTTCTACGTTGAAATATCAACGACCATCAAACGTTGAGAATATGTGGCAGCTTCAACGTTGTTTCAACGTTGAAATATCAACGAACATCAAACGTTGAGAATATATGACAGCTTCAACGTTGTTTCAACGTTGAAAAAAGGTTGAGGATTCAACGTTAAAACCTCAACGTTGAAACAACGTTGAAATATAGTTGATCAACGTTGCAACCTATATTCCACCTCCTTTCAACGTTGAAACAACGTTGCGTGCCTGCTGGGAAAACTGCTCCAACCCAGGTAATACGTATGTCGTAGATAACGATACAAATTCTGGAAAAACACTTTAATAGATTTTATTTCATTCATTTCATTCATTATATGAAATTATATACCTTAAACTTCATTAGTCGCAAATGCAAATATGTGTATGTATCCCTAATGTAGATTTTCCAAAGGGTTTGGAAAAGTTTTGGAAATCCATGGAATTCCATTCGTTTCCATACATAACTCGAAAAGTGTGTCTGGAAGTTTTTGGAATATTTTGGAATTTGAAAAAAAAATGGACTTAGACATTTTTTGGCTAGGAAAGTAGTGGAATTCTTTGGAAAAAATTACAAAATGAGAAACTTAGCCATTTTCTGCGCTGGAAAGCTGTGGAAAATTACTTAGATTTTTTTAAACTGCCGACTAATAGTACAATAACATCGGGATCGAAGTCAGACTCGATGAACAATTAACAACTTAACAATTTAACAACACGCTGAAATTCAAAAATATCGAAATGCCATGTTCATGATGTTGATCATCAACTTGGTGTTGCACAGAAGAAAAGTTGGAAAGAGAGTGTCACGAACAGGGGAATCATAATTAGCTTGGGATGGAAGACGATGATGACATTTCAAGACCCGGTAGGTAAAATATTGTACAGTATTTTATGTGTCCCTGAATGAAGAATGCTTCTGCTACTGTTCATCAGTCTGGGAGCCAAACTAAAATGCCCGACTGTGAAATCGTAAGGACAAGCACTATTTCAATTTTGTAATAATTATTTAACAACTCTAAACATATCGTTTAGATCATGGATTTTAACCCGAATTTCCTCGTTTGGAATCGAACTGATGTAAAGAATTTTACCTGTATGTTCCTTTGTTCAAGATAACATTTACAGAGTGTGATGTACATGTAATTAAGTCCATATTTTGTAATGCATGTACATGATCATTTTCAGCTCTTGTTTTGATTGTTTTAATAGTTGCTGCAGTGCCTGAGATGATTCCCACAGCTCTGGCGTTTTGATAAAAGTGAATATACATGTAGATGCTTAGCCAATCACTTACATGTACGGCATGTCAGGATGTGGATATGGTGAGAACCAGCTCAAATTATTATTCGAAACAAATAAACTAACTTTGATTTTATTAATCCATGTCTTTAAGTATTATACGAGGGTCATTCAAAAAGTTCGTAGACTTTTGTTCTAACTCTTTTATTTAACGTCATATTATATCCAAATTTGGTACAAATATTTTAACAATAGATTCAAATAATTTGAGTAAAAAAATTGGAATGTATCTTCATATTTATTAAAATTACCAAGGATTTAGAACAGCAAAAATGGGGTCACGGAGCACCGTCAAAATTGAGTATTTTTCTAATTTTCACTTTATAGTATTTACAGCTATACCTCTTATAAATGGAACTGAAACGAAATAAAATTTTCATATTTAAATAAAGTATTGTTGTATTAATTAAGATGAAATCAGGTTATGTAATATCTCGCTCCATTTAAAAGATATCAGCTTCTAAATACATAAGGACTTGATTGAAAAAGGCAAAAAACCATGACGTTGGAGGACGCCACGGAGCAGCAAGTAGCAATAAAATTAGACTTTACATTCAGAAAACTTCTTCTACAAGCTTAAAAAATCCTTTTAAACCAGGATCTGTATGAAAAATAATCTGTGTATTTGTATTAAATTAAATATACAATTTTTGAGTGGTAGCGAGTTTGAATCGGACGATGGATTGTCTGTAAAGAAACAGGTTAAAGATAAAAATATTGTCAAAAGAGTTAGGAACGTCATTGAACGTGATGTGTGCTTCAATGTTGCAGAACTAATAGAGTTGCATAGTAATTTAAAGAATTTGAAAACAAAAACATTCTTGTTCAAGCTATATTTGTACAATTGTTAGCAAACTAGGTGTTAAGTGTTGTGGATATGTGTTTTGAATGGAGAAGAAACTACAGGCTGTGTTTGAAATTAAAAAAAAAATGAGTATACTTTTGACAAATTTTCTCAGCATTGTTGTTGACGTTACAATATTGGTTAACCGTGCTCCGTGGTAACAAAACATGTTGCTTTAAATTTTGGCTAACATGAGTTCTACTTAATCAAATGAAATGAAACTTCACACTTCGACAAACTAAATGTTTATGTTTACGAAAATGTATTGATCTATAATCTTGTAATAATCATATGACGATGAGAAGCACTGTCTACGTATTTTTTGAATGACCCTCGTACTTATTGGGAAGGCCAAAATGGTCAATGGGACTATGTCGCAACTGTCAACATTTTTGATGGGCCATTTCGAAAATGAATGGGCCATCAATATAATCTGAAGGGCCATTTCAAGAAATAACAAAGTGACAAACAAATACGAAATACGAGAGAAAAAATGTTTTTAATTAACTAAATCTGATTTTTAACGCATGAAATGCAGCAAATTTAAAGGAACTTGCTTAGAATACAACTGACCCTAATTTCGTGTTAAAATTACGACAGTTTTGGAAAGGAAACAGCCCTACCATACAAATGAATGAAGCATCGCTTCGTTTAACCGGAAGTACTTTTTGACAGGTTTCAACTAATGAGATTTGCTGTTTTAAATTGACTGCATTTAAAACGAAAGTAAAACAAGAAAGAAAGTCGTACGCAAAATATTTTCAAATAACAAAGCTAAAAATTGAATGCGCACCTTGGCGCCATGATTGATTGATTTAATGCGCCATTTTTCACTTCAATGCGACTATGGCGCATGGCGCAAGCCCTTCCCAATCACTGACAGACAGTATAAGATTTATTTTATTTTTTGTTTAAAAATTTGCAACTATGCCAAATAAACAAAATTTAAGGTAAATTTTTACCATGCTTAATTTCCTTAATATCCTAATAATTTAAAACAATGAATTCTAACAGGTAATCTAAACATGCTTAATGCACAGGTATGCATAATCATTTAAGATCAAATAGCTATCATCTTCTATGAAGTATACATGCATTTTACAGGAATCCGGATGCTCAAAAGAAGGACAAGAGCTGTATGAAAAAAAAACCAGGTCAGATTTCTTAATTATTTTCAATGTTAGTCAGGCATTGAGCTTGAGCTCTAACCTTTTCATTTTAACTCAGCTGAGCCATTTTAAGGCCTAAGTGAATTTTTTGATCAGTGACTAGTGTTTTTGTATATAAACTTCCTAATTTGAACAAAAAGTTGCAAGATAATGAATTCATAATCTACGGTAAACTGATCTGCCAGGTCGAAAGAACCAGTTGTTTTGTAGAGCTTTATTTTATTCTTTTTTGTATATTTTTATGGATTTCAATAATGATACATCTGAATGGTCATCTTTTCTTTCAGAAATTGTGTAAGGATCGAAAGTTTGAAGTGTGTGTTGGAATGGTCAACATCGAACTTACCTAGCCTTTGTACCAAAATTGAATCCGTTTGCGACACCAATTATCTGTCAACCCTCTATTGCAAATTTTATGGGATATATCAGTGAGGAAGTGATTCTATCAACACGACAGAAGTTTTGGATCTTCCGTAATTGGGATCTTTGGCACGCATGTTTGGGGAAAATATAGCAACTGTTGATTTTATGGGATCTTTGGATCAATATAGTTGTGTAGTACATTTATTTTGCATTTAATACGTATGTGTTTGTCACTCTGGTCATTAAATTTGTAAAGTAAATGTACATGAGCCACTGGCAGTTCATTGTAAATGTACACGCTGTTTAGGTGTCAAGGACCTCTCCAATCCTTGGCCAATGTCATTTAATGAAACTAACCTCTTTGTTTTAAAAAAAAATGCAGACATTAGTTTACTACATCATGTACATGTATATCATAACATAATTTACCCATGGCAATCCTCCAGTAATGATTGTATTTTTCTCTGGATATTTTTGTTAAAATTCTTTGATGTTAAATACTTTTAGTGAGAATACATTTAAAAAGTGTGCTTATATTGTACATCTAGGAGGTATATGCAATATTTGTCTCAAAACACGTTGTAAAAGAAACTGTGAATTTTTTATTTTTGCAAATATAGATTTGATGTTTGAAATATATTGTGGTGTTTTCAAGTTTTTTTTGTAGTTATTTAACACTAATTCAGTTTTCATTGTATTTTGAATTCCTGGAATTCCACGGATTTCCATGGAATTCTTTAGATTTACAAATAATCTGGAATTCCATGGATTTCCTCCGCAAATTTCCGTTCTGGCATTGTTCCGCTCTTTTCTAGGCTAGATTTGAATTTCCGTACCACTCCGAAAAAGTTACGTCCCAATACTCCAGAGAATTCCTAAGAATTCTGCGGAGCAAAAATTCCATGGAATTCCATTGAATTTGCTTTGGAATTCCTTGGAAGTTGCGGAAAATCTACATTAGGAATGTCGGGAAACTAAAATTTAGACATGAACACGAATCAGCTTTCTAAATGTCAAGCATGTCCTTAAATGGATCTTAAAACAATTAAATGTAGAACACTCACATTTATATGCTTCAGTAGAATCATATCGTGGTGGACAAGGAGGCGTGTATGTGCTACAGTCGGTAAAGTGGTCTTCCACAACAAAGTTTTCTCCTTCATTGAACTGTGGACACACAGCTGTAAATAGATCGACCTATAACGTTATTTTCTTTTTCCTATTCATTATACAAAGATGTCTAATTACAGAAGATTTTCATTTTCATAAACAGCTTTAAAAAGGATTGATTCATGAAAACATTATCAAAAGAATGTGTCGGTATTCGACAGATGTCCAGAACTTCAAGTCTTATTGTATATATATATATTTTTTATTCGCAAACCTAGGTTCTATTCTTTTTTGTTTATTACTTAAAATAATCAAAAATGATCATCGATTTGAAAAGGAGAAAACAAGAAACTTAATTTTATCGTTTGCTCTAGTCACAGCATTAAACTTAACATTTTTTGCCAATACTTACGGAATGTAATTGTAACACGTAAACTGCAAACTTCAATTAGTTTTTTCTGATTAGTTCGGAGACAGTGATATACAAAGTTGTTTGAAGCTGTACAGTTTTGTGGTATAACAGCACAGTTCTTTCTCTGTGATGCAATCTCCCACTCACTTTTATTTCCTGGACAAGACGGTACATAATTCTTAGTGCCAAGAGTTGCAGGGCAATATTGACTCATGGAACTTCTGCAATAATAAATGTTCATTAATTTCTGTTTTACATTCATTTTCATTAACATTTGAATAATTTGACCGGTACCATGTGGCGATAGCCTTTGTTTGATTCTTTTTATCAGTGAAAAAGTAAAAAAAGTAAAAAAAAGTTAATTTGGTGCCAAAAATATCATTTACGAGGAGTGCTTAATTTGATTCGTCTGTGATATCTCTTTCACACTAAGGTGAGTTAATTTCATAATAATTCAACCGGCTTGCATAGGGTCAGAGAACAAGAAGGCCTATAATACATGTATGCATGTAGATCACGAGCGTCATTTTTAGCCGGGCTTATTGCTCAAAGAGCAATTGCCGGCTTATGGGATCCTGTTCAAGGCAGGATGTTGACCCCATAGTCGCCATTTTAAAATTACGTGCAAAAATATAATAGTACTTACTCTAAACCGCTTTTGAGATAATACAAACGCTAAATAAAGCAACAAAAATAAAACGAAGTTTTATCTATATAAAATAAACATAAGTAGTAATGACTTTGAAAACTTCATAAGTCAAAGAACATAGTTCATTAGCGTAAGGATTTTTGATAATCAGTGTTACCGTAGTTCTCTACACATACGAGGTAAAGCAGGAGAGGGAACCAGACTGGCCTGTTTGTTTACATTCAGCTGCGGTACCAGATTAATTCTGATTCTGACAAAATCGGACCGTGGTATTAGGATTGAAAAACTCACTGTCAGTGTCTTATCATTTATATTGATAGTTTTAAAATAATTTTTTCATCAGAAAATAAACGTGATTCATGTAAGAAATTCATTCTACTCTGTAAATGAGCCCGGCACTCTGTACTTCTGAGTACTTTGATTTGTATCTGACGTCAGATATCCAGCGGAATAGCTATTGAAATTGACATTAGAGGCCTCGTGTAATCTTAATCTTTTAGACAACATTTTTGAAATTAATTTTTTTTTTTACAATGGAATGCAAATTATTTCAAGTTTTCAAACTATTGTTGATATCCTGTCATTACCAACAAACTAGACAGTGATTCCCTGAATCATTTCTGTCGTTTTATTTCATAAAGGGTGTTGTTTGAGAGACAATTTTAATCATAGGAATCGATAGAACAGTGCTATTGTTACCAGTAAGTTAATAAACATCAATATTATTAATTTTTTAAACAGGTCCAAAATTTCATAGTCAATGAAAGAATTAAAGAATAACGTTGAGTTAGTAAACTACATGTAGCTAAATTTAGCAACATATTGCATTCTGAGATGGCACAAATATGGTTGAAATTAGACAGATGTATTCAGAAAAATTGCATAATTTGCCGATCAACCCTGGCCTGGGCAATATAATGTAAAACAAAGATTACTTAGTAGATATCTATTTGTCTTTTGAGCCTTAAATGATTGGAGAGACCGAAAATAAAACAAAGTCGCATCAGATGAAAATACTTACAATGAATGTAGTGTAAAGCACAGAAGAATGTCTTTAAGAACTTCATTTGCAAGCATCGTTGTTTTTAAACGTCTATATTTCCTAAAAAAATTGAAATACCATCATGTTTCTAGCACTTTTCACAAATGCGCTTTCTCTGTTCTGTAAGGACAAGATAGGCTGAGACCCCTTTTTGGCCCTTGTTTTGGGAAGGTGTCTTAAGGAAGGATGCAGAACTTAAAAATATGAATAAAAATCTGGAAAAAATGAGGAAGTTATTGGATCAAACAGAAAGGTAAGAAAATAATTATATCATTTTCCATTTTTTTTTCATTTATTGAAAATTTTAATCGATTTTACATCACATCTGGCTTCAGAAAACATACAGCACAATATTACCTATCAAGAATATTTATATACAAATTTCTATCAGAACCATTTATGTACAAAAATCTGTGATAGGCAAGCTTTTGCTATGTTTCTCTAAAAGATGAATGTATGTATCTCAAATATGACAAATTTTAACCAGAATTAAGAAACGTTTGGAAATTTAAATACTTCTCTTCTATCTATATGCCTCCTTGTTTTTCAGAGTTTGATCCTAATACCATCAAAGATCCAAGATACCCCCACTCCCCCGAAATAGGATAATTGCGTAACGACTTTGTAATACTTTATTTTAATTTTTTCTCATGCAAAATGAAGAAGGAAAGATAGATATACTTGTTGTTTCATCAACTCAGACATGAGATGAGATACCTTATTTCCCCATCCTAGCCCCAGTCATCAATGCAAACCAATGCCCCTTAAAAATGCAGAAATGTGACATGCACAGTATTATAGTGCATTTCTCTGGATGATTTTCAATCCTAATTCTACTAGGGTTGATTGACCTAAGATCATGAATTAAATGTGAAGCAATCTTATCATTAATGCACAAAAGAGTATTCTTCCTGTGATCAGTTTTGTTTCTGTAAACAATGAGGCAAACCTGCTAAAAACCACAGGCGCTTGGTAACAGGATTGTGTATTTTATGTATTATATAATTGCCTGACGTCACGGGGTCAGGCTGTATAAGGATAGATATTTCCAAGAACCGAAACTGTGCGATCATACCTAAAGAGCCAGATTTTGTGCAAGCTGATTTACATTAGAATTCTTTACCTGCATGTTAAAAGAAACAGTTTCAGAAAAAAAGAATGATATTACTGATGCAATATACTGCAGTGTTTACTTCCTTTACTCTTTTTGCATGGAAAAGATTATTCCATGTGATTCGCAATGTCCGTGTATCATTTTTTCTGCATTTCTATACTACTGGGCCAGTCCATTTATATTCTACGAAAGGGCCGGTGAATCGCTTTTTTCGCTCCAAATGTCACTAGTAAGCCCACTTCGCACCTTTTCCCAAGATTGGTCTGTTGTATGAATGGGTGTGCTAAGTTTCATGGATTTAAATAAAGTTTTTCCTTTAAGTTCCTTCTAATGCTTCAGAAATTATATCTATCATCTTTTAAAACAACATATCGTATACGTCAGTATAAGAACATGCAAACTAAACAAATGATTTTTCTAATTTGTCTCCAATCCCGCGGTTAGTTTAATCCATAAATGGACTAGTCCAATACTAATAAACAACGCAGTTCAAGTCATCATCTCCAATGCATGATCTATTATATATATCTGTTCAGATGCACAAATAAATAAGAAAGCAGTGAAAAATCTTGGATTGCTCTTTATACAAAGGCCTACATATTGAGTTTACTTCTTTCATTCACAATATATGATAGTGTCACTACCCCCCCCCCCTTCCTGTTAAAAAAAAAAGAAAATGATAAACACACATTTCTACTGTTTACTTCAGAAAAGAAAATACACTCCAGCAAATTATGTATTTAAGTATATCCATCTTTTTTAAAAAATTGTTAACAATAATTTTAATTAGCCCCTTCACGGTAACTGCGGTACTACAGTTTTGCAGGGCAAAATAATAACATTTGGCGAAGTTTTTGTTGATAGATAATTAAATGACGTATCTTTAACAATTACTCTTACGTCATATTTCACCAAACTATATCATTTTGCCCTGCAAAACAGCAGTACCGCAGTTACCGTGAAACGGTCTATTGATAACAGATATTAACTACATGTATAATAGGAGTTACAATGTAGCTTGAAATCAATTTAGATGCAAGGGCAGATCATTCCACTTGCAGACTTCTCACACATACTCTTTAGTATGCAGTGTAGAAATGATTCTTCTACAAGTAAAATAAAATCAAGATTTTAATTACACAAGGTTTTCAAAATACATAGGTTAGGATATGTTTTAAACCTACAAAAGTACTGCTCAAAGGTTTATCACTCTTCGTGCAGATAAATTGATTTAGTCAGGCAAGCTTTTTAAAAAGATGTTACAAAAAAAAAAACCCGCCCTGTCTTCGAAGTGGCTTTTTGGATTTTACACACCAACGCGGAAAAACCTCTAGGGTTATATGATGAGAATCCGCTTGGCGTCGCGTCAATCGATGAACACTTCCTGTGCTTTCGATATCGAGGACGTTTCTGTTCACTGCATGTTCAAAACAGCATATGCAGGTCAACAGATGATAACGAGTAGTCATTTTATAATTTTCTAATGTAGATCGCACCAGAAACTGGTACGAAAAGTGTAGATATACTTATTATGTGTGAACCAGAGCACCCATTGGAATTCAAGATGGCGAATGAAATGGTTTCCTTATTTTTATACACAGTAGATATGATATTTGTAAAATGTGTTAATTTCAGCGATTTTTTTTTCATTGTTTTTAAGGAGTATATTCAGTTACACCTGTTTAAGCATATAATACATAAACTACAACATCCTGTAACCAAGCGCCTATGCTAAATTCTGCATTAAACATTACATGTTGGCAAGGATATAAATATGCAGTTAAAGATCTATAGAGAATAATGAGGCAAGTTAAGAAAATAGATAAAACTTAGTCTCACCAGTGGTTTCTTCACTCTTGTCTATTCCGACTTAGTCTGAAAAATCTGATATATACAGACTCACACTTTTACAAAATGCATCTTCATGTTTTCATTTTATATTTCCTTTTTTCAATGGCAAACAGGAAGAGGAACGTATGTGATACTGCATGCATACATAAGTATATAGTACATATGTGACACTTCAAGAAATTAAACTACAAGTACTAGTGGTAGAGAACAAAAAGAATCAAACGAACGCTCTTTTTTAACTAATTGTTTTTTTTTTATTTTTTACAGAGCCTTGGGGTGAGATAATTAAAAATGTGTTTAATTGTTTGCACAGGACAGAAATTTGAACAAATTTGAACTGTCGATATCTGATTAAAATGTACAGACGCACTTTGATATATTTAAAATAGTCAGACATCTTAGCTTTAGGATAAAATATTAATTTTATATTAACAAGCAAACAATTTAAAGAATAAGTATATGTCCCTACTGTTGTGTACTTTTTAAATATTACAGTATTCTGAAAAACTGTCATGCATCAGTTGTTTTGTTGCGTTTCTTGTTGTGTTGGTAAAAACACGCAATTGCTTTAGACCAAATCTATACCTTTTCTGCAATGAAAATGAAGAAGGCATGTAGCAACTTATGAGAGTGTGCCAGCTCAATTTATTTATCACATGCATTTAGTTGTCCGTGCACATTTATGTCAATTTAGAAACTCGATTGCTTTTACCTTTTTATTCTCAGAGACATGGCAGCTTAATTTTCAAGAACACTGCTTGTCTTATAAATTTCAAATCTCCCTCTATTTTTTTTTAATAATGCATGCCACCTACATGTTCTTGCACTGACTAATGGAGTATTCAACTAATGGTCAACTTCAAAGAAAAAAGAAGAGTATTTAACTAGAGATCAAGTGCAAAGGAAAAAGAGGAGCATTCAACTACATTTTGTAGCGGTCAACAGCAAAGGAAATAGAGGAGCATTCAACTAGCGGTCAACTGCAAAGGAAATGCAGGAGTATTTAACTAGCCGCCAACGGCAAAGAAAATAGAGGAGCATTCAACAGTGGTCCACTCTATGCACATGTGTTGAACGCTCCCTCATTTGCATGGCAAAAATTCAACTAATGGTCAATTGACAGTCAATTTACCTTAAACTAGTAGTTGTCCGAATACTCCGATTGAATCTTAATAGTGTTTTTTTTTTCGTATGGGAAATCACAAGATTTTGAATATATATAAGTCACAAGATTTTGAATATATATATGTCACAAGATATTGCACATACATCACAATTTTTTGAATATTCATCACAAGGTGTTTAACATACATCACAAGATCTTAACTATACATGTACATCAAAAGATCTACACGCCATAACAATCCATTTCCAGTAATATGAATTACGTAACAGAAACAATAAACAGGCCTCAAATACCATCATTAAGAACTAAATTATAGCCACTAGTCCTCTAACGGGAACAATTATCTGCCGTCCTTTACAAATTAAAAATGTCATATTTAATCCATCCAAAATCATTGAAGCGTAAAAAATACAACCTTTTATAATTACTCATCAAGTAAGACTCGCATATCAAAAAATTGTCGTATTGGTTCGCGAGCGTTTAAATTAAAAAAGGGCTGAATTCCTTTAAAATTAAAAGGATCGTATATTTATTCCTCAAAACCCAACAAAGCAAAATGAAATGAGCTAGAACTTGATCTTTTACTCATCATACCAGGCATTAATTATAATTCACTAGAATCTGCACTACCCGAGGATATTTGCAATTATTTTTCTGAATGCACTGTTCATTATAACATAGTTTCTAAATAAACACATGGTAGGGTTTTTTTCTTTTATTTGATTATCTCTCCTCTTGGAAAAGGACATTGTCTTTAAGTTAAAGAAAATCCGATTTCATTAACATGAGAAAGCTTTATGGATACCTGAATATACGTAACCCCCTCATTAAAGACAAGACATAACATTCAATAGAGGAATAGAAGAGATCATTAACGAGTATTTACAAAAATAAATGACAGAATAATCAAACAAGACATATGTACATGCACATACAAATAAGACAAAGCAAAACATCATATGACAAAATAACCAAACAAGTCATACGTTTAAGTAAACAACAAATGATACAAAGCAAAACACATACAAAACCCAAATCACAAACGATTATGCACAATATTTATAAAAAAAATGTGATGTACATTCAATTCTTACAAAATATACTGAATATGGTAGAAAAAATGGGTCACATCCGAAAAAATGGACCACATCCGCTATGGGATAAACTGAATAATATGATTTTACATAAGAGGTTGAAAAAATGTAAGAGGTTGGGAGGGCGTTGGTTACTTATTTCTTAGTGGAATTTCTCCGTGACTTGATAAAAATGGCGACTGACGCTAGAAAAACTGCGCATGCGCAGAGTACACATACAACTGCTCAATTTAAAGGAGAGGTGTCTAATATAAAATATTAATGATTATTACCCATAAATGTTTTATTTTCATAAACCTGTTTTATGGATAACTGAATAACTTAAACTCCTTATAAAAGACATAAAATACAGTAGAGGGAAAGAAGAGGTCATTTATTCACTAAAATAAATTACAGAATAATCAAAGAAGACATGTGTATATGTACATACAAATAAGACAAAGCAAAACATAATATGAAAAAATAACCAACAAGTCATACATTTAAGTAAACAACAAATATAATAGCACATCCGCCACCGATCATAACTGCTTTCTGTCAACGTAAAACACCAAACAACTTACTTTTCTCTTAGGGGAATTTTCCGTCACTTGATAAAATGGCGACTAACGCTAGAAAAACTGCACATGCGCAGAGTACACATACAACTGTTCTAATTAAAGAAAAGGAGCCAAACACAAAACATTATAGATCAGTACCCATAAATGTTTTATTATCATAAACCTGTTTTTGGTAAAATAGTCTAGGTAATTATACAGTAATTATAGATAAGTCGTAATTTGTGAAGTCAACGGACATGCCGATAGGGGAATGTATTAAAGCTTGCTTGCGATACACATGATATTTTAGGTAAATTAAAACGTTAAAAAATGAACACTGTAAGTATACATGTACATACTTTCCCTAATTTGAGTCTGCTGACAACAAATCTGCCCTGTATTTCATTCATTATTGTATTCCTTGTACAACTTTTTAATGTACGAGTTCTCAGCCCTTCGATACTGAATAAACTGCACACATCTTAAACAGAAAAAAATCAATATTTCCATTAGTTTCAGAACACCACTATTTTTCAAGATGTTTTTGATGCACTGCTTTCTCCAAATATCCCAAAAAAATAAATGTACACAGATAGAGAAGTATACATTCCTGAAAACATGAAAGACTTATCAGCATTGAGAATCATTCGGTATTTATCAACATGTATTTTAAGTTATTACCATAAGATAACGACTCTACTCCCCATTCTCGCCTCGCAAATATTCACATAATCAGATCGAGGCTGAGTGACTAATATCAGAAATAAGCTCGAGAAGTAGTGCGTTTGATTTATCTTCTTAATTACAAATTCCATTGCTAACGTTTGACTTTTAATATATTATCTGCAGATCTCAGCTTATTTTAAAATAAAGGAATCAGTATTTAGTTTGGAAATTATGCCAGGGCATAGCATAGCATGCCAGATGTCCCTGACATAGTCTTCTAACTAGAGAGTGATTCCTTATAATTTCAGATTGAATTGAAATAACGATCTTAAAAATTAATCAAAATACCGTCTAATTAAGTAGGTTTGAAATGAGTGAGGCATTCCATGTTATTTTCCATTGCCCCGGCCCCATGACGTCAAAATTTACTATTAAATTGTAATCCCATGAAAACACAAAACAAATTTAATGATTGTTAAGTTTCTGTTTGTTGTGAATGTGTTACCATTAACAATGTTTAATTCATTTGATACATTTCTGAGTTTTTTGCAGATAAGCCTCAGAATGTTTCATTTCTGTGCTAATATTTTCCTTAAGAAAAAAAGTGTTGCCATCGTCGCCCAGTTCAATTTTTGGATATATGTAAACTGCATTTAAAAAACACTAACTCAAAATCTTTGTGGGCGAGGCAGTGTATATTTTAGGAAAGAAAATTCCACTAAAAATGGATGTCCTCTGCAGCTTTTTAAGAAAATACGGGAAAATGCACAAGTTAATGACGTCACAATTAGCATTTAGGAGGTCAAATGAGAAAAACCATTTGTGTATTCTTACTGCAGAGAATTCCTATGATTCAGAAGGAATGAATTTATATCACCTTCATATATGAGAAAAATGCATCTATAGGGCTTAATTTGTATTGAAACTGTACCTTCTTCTTTGTTTTTTTCTATTTGAAGGAATTTACAAATTTCTTCATGAAATGTTTTGGAATTTCCTTGTACTTTTTTGAAAATGTTCTGAATGTCACGGTTTAATATCATGTTGGTGAGTTTCACAATTTGTGGTTAGGAAAATATTTACCATATATGCTGCAAATGATAAGCATAATTTTCCATATCTTAATAAATGTTATTATTATGGTAATAGATGGAGAAAATAAATTTTTATAATAGACCTTTTAACTATATATCTCATGGAAAGCATTTTTAAGAAAAACAGAGGAAAGTGACAGACAATAACATGATTTAAAAAAGTGTTTGTTTTTTTTATTTCTCATAACTATGCATTAATTGTGCTCAGAAAGCAACACATATCATTTAATAAATAAAATCTTAATAAAATAAATACCTTTTCAACATATATGGCACTGACACACTATGTCGATCCAGGATAATATGCATTCGCTACACAAAAAAATTACTTTATTCACTAAATACAATCACATGAGGCCTACACTTCATGGCATATAAATACATGTATATTAAAAGTTAGAAAGGTCTTCCGTCTCAAACGGGCGACCCTTCTATTATTCTGTTGTTTCTTTTTCACTTTTATTAAGGTCTTCCGTCTCCAACGGAGAACCTTCTATTATTCGATTGTTTCTTTTCAGGGTCTTCCGAGCTTCCGATTAAGAAGACCCTACTGTTATTCTATTGTTACTCCACTGTAATTTGTTTGAAAATCGAAAAAGCCAATCTCAAGATATTTGCATTTGAAAATTTGAAGTGGAAATCCCAATGGCTAAATGGTTAGCGCGTTGGATTGCCACGCGGGCGACCCGGGTTTAACCCCCCGTGTGTCCGAAAAATTTTATCACTTTTTCTGCTCGATTTTTTTAATATCTTTAGTGTTTTAATTTTAGACCATTTGCAACAATATATAATAAACTTTTGAGCATATCTTGCGTATTTAAGGGTCACAAGGGGCCAGAATGTCAAATCTTTGACGCTTTATATCTCAATCAAAGTACTGAAAGTACTGAAAAGCGGTTAGCATGCTTTCATCGAATATGTACAGTGTACAATAACAAAAAATGCATTGAATCATGATATTAAAGTAGGCATGCATGTCTTTTTCCAGTGTCATCAGCGAAGAAGCAGACACACTGAATTTTGTAGTACTTAACTAAATGGTATAACCAATAACATCCCAGACTGATGTCACAAATTTTTGTATTAAAATATCAACCTGAGATTTTCAGTTTGAAAGACAGGAAGTTCAATTTCAAAAATTTCTCCCTAATTGTCTCCATTGGTGGCGTCCAAAAGTGCTCAGAACGAAAAAAAATTATGTTGATGTTGCAAATTTAATTGACTTTCATGCTCTATTGATTCTGAAATTAGGTAACTGTAAAGGCTACTATAGCAAATAACTCAAAAATAAAATAAAATGATAATTCAAATTCTTTAGATTAATTGATTTAGAGTACTGTACATAGATCTTTAGCTGGCTAGTCTGAGAAAAACGGATGGACGAGCAGAGAATAAATTAACTTCAGAGAGCTTCAGTTTCGTAGGCTCACTGCGGGTCAGCAGGTGTGACCTGTCATTGGGGATGCTTACTTCTCCTAGGCACCGGAACTTTCAAGGATCCGTTTTTCTTTTGAGACCGATCACTGTTCATTCTGTATTTTGATACAGATACTGAGTACATCTGTTTATTAATATTATGAACTATTTCTCTCACAGGAAGAAAGACAAGTAAACAAGATAATAAAGTTTTAAGAAATGTACATTATTGACTTTTCATACAATTAAATGTTCGAATAAGTAAATGGTATATGACAATTATTTAAAAAAGAGTCTTGCACGATATGTATAAACGAACATATACTGAGTATTTGGCAAATATTTTTCATGAAATCTTGTAAAAAAAAAAAAAAAAAAAAAAAAAACGTGTGAAAAGGAAAGTTGTTGTTTAATCCATCAATACTAGTACTTTAAAAATTCAAAGGTTCACTAGAAGTCAGTGTATAAAAACAATTTAATTGTCCATTGCAAGAATTACCTAGGTATCATTGTCACTTTCTTCAATATGTCGCATAAGCAATACATTGTTTTTTTTTTTTTTAGTAAAAACAAGTATGCGAATTTCTATCAATATGTCTGTAAGCATCTGTATTTTAATTTTTATTTTTTCTCAAAGGCTCAAAATGATAATTAACGAATTGGACAAATTCAAATTTAAAAAGTATTTTTACAACTTATACCTTGCATAGGAATTTAGTAAACTTTCAAAAATAATCATTCATTAGATATAATTTTCAATTTGTGCTTATCGTCAAGATTTTTCATGCCTCTTTTTTCTGTGCATATTTTATATCGGCTGATTTTTAGAAAAGGATCGAATGCCGATTAAATTTTTTTCTCCAATTTTTTAAAATTAATTTTAGTATTTTCAGGCTCCCATTATTTTTTTTTTAAATAAAAATGTGATCGTTTAAAATCGTTTGTAATAATTAGACTGAATACAGAATTTATCCCTGGAAACAAAGCTTTTATCATTTTTAAATAATTTCAATTGAGAAGAAAAGGAGAAGAAAACAAACGTTTCATTATGGAAGTAATCCATAACTGTACAACTTACAGATGTATTCAGTATTTTTATATAAAGGCTTTCTTCGTGTACTAGTATTACTTAAGTTAATTAAAGGATGCCTAAATATTTTGGAAAATGAAACTCGATCGAGAGATTCTCCGATGTTTTGCAGTCGGTAATAACCTTCAACCCCTTTAGCCAGTAATTAACCCGTCCTCCCTGTGCCCAGTAGCATAATTCGGTCAAATATTTATTGTTCATAAGGGGTGCCTTATAATTAATCACAGGCGCCTGAATTTTTATCAGTAAGTCTCTAAATTAGCCAAATGTCGAAACATTCTACCCCCTTTATATATAAATACACAAGGTGTCCAACGCCATTTTGACCACCTGTTCGATTCAGGCTTCAATTTAACACATAAATCGGAAATGCCTACTGGTTTTCGTGTAACACTGGGTTCAAATATGATATTTCTCGCTATACATTTCTTCCTAAAGTTTAAATCTAATGCGTTGATAATGTTATCAGCTAAACTTCATGCTGACTTCGAATTTCGTCACAGGGCCCGATCGCCATCAGCTGATGTCACGGAAATTTAATCTCGACACCAAATGCTCCTATACATAAACTTTTTTTAATACAACAATTATAAATTTATTTCATTGACAAACAAAATCAGAAAAAAAATTAAAAAACCGAAAGATTATGTTGTTTTGATAGTCTTGATTTTATTTAACATATGTTATATGTGTTAGAAACAAATCATAGGTACTAGGTAGAGACTTTGTTGAAGTTTCCGTTGTCGATAGGTAGCGCCTTATGGAAGTTTCCGGTGTAG